CAGCCCTGATGCCATCCAACGGCTCCCTTCCTGGGCACGTGTACCCCAGCCCACCCCTGCCAGCTCCCTCAGGACTCAGAGCAAAGCTTACCAGAGGCTGGAGAGCAGGGTATGAATATTGCATGAATAATAATAACCTCACCACTTAGCAGTTATACAGCGCTTTCCTCTTCCACAATACTTTACCATCATTAATTAGTTATTCTGTACTGCTCCCAGTCTCTTCTGCACTCCCTGCAAAGCCAGCCCAGCCTTGCCCTGGAATAGCCTGCTTGGGTGAGGGCCCAGCCAGTCCTTCCCATGCAGGCCTGCCAGGGCCTCCTGTCACTTTTGGGCACTGGCCTTCCAGCTATGAGTGGCCCCACTTTTGCAGGGACCCAGGAAACAGCGAACATGTCTCTCATAGGTGGCATTCTTGCAGCAAACACAGCTCTAGTCAGTTTGGCCCATCACCAAGGGACCACCAAGCTGAGACCAGCATCAGCCCCTGGCAGGGCAACAGTGGCCACAAGGAGACTCTTGGTTCTAGCTACACTGCCTGGAAAGACTCCTGAACCAACACCCTTCCCCCTCAGTGTCCTGGTGGAGTTTGGAGACCCTCATGGAGGGGCTGGAAGATGGAGCAACCCATTCCTCAGTGTGGTAGGACTGGCGTCCTGCTATGGCCCTTCCTGGGACAGCACTGCCTACCGTGGGGACAGCCCTGCGCTCCCCCTCCTTCCTGCACCCTGTCTCTCTCAGGGCTGCAGCTGCTCCCTGGCCAGGTGTGACTGAGTGCTTCAGTGCAGTGTCACCCTGTCCTGGTCACAACGTGCCTGGCCCAGGTGTCTCCTTTAGGAGAATGCCCATCCCAGAGCACTCTGGTTCCACCTCAGGCCTCGACAGCTCCCCCTCCAGCCCCATGAGCCTGGAAAGGTATTGATCAGTCCGGCTTCTGCCAGCCATGAGCTTAAGTCCCAGCACCTGAATTTTTAAGAATTAATTAGCAAAACTTCTCTGGGAAAAACCAAGTGTACAGATGTGACATTGCCTATCATTCCCCATGATTATCCCCCTCTTCTTTATAGTGTGCCCTTTTTGGGGTGCCCAAGGCAGTGCTCCTGCTTTGCAGCCTCCCTCACCTCGTCATCTGCATGTTGGCCTTCTGAGGCCTCCTGCTTCTCACTCTACTGCACATCACTGACCCTGGTGAGCCTCAAGCCTCATCTGACCTAGCCACGGCAGCGTGGACTGAAGGGAGGGACACAGTGTCACACAAATGGCCCTGTGCTCAGCTCCCCACCTTGAAGCTGGCTGTGGGCTCTTCTCACCCACCCATGGTGCCTGCACATCTCCTGCCAGAGTTCTGGCTTCTCCCTGCTGTGAAGCTGCCTCTCTAGCTTTGGCTCTGGGCTCTCTTAGGATGAGTGAGTATGGCTTTTCCTCTTCCAGGACCCCAGAGCCAGGGCTGGGTGGCTTAGCTGGGTTTGCACAGCAGGAAATCCACCAACTACTCTTTCTGGGGGTACCAGATCTATGAGAACTATGGGGGTGTCCCCAGGTTCTGCCTGGCCCTCTTTCAAACTGCACAGCTCAGCCTGGTAGGTACAGGTTCTGGCCCAAGACCATCCTGGCAGAGAAGGACAGGGGACAGAGAGCTCTGAGGGGCAGAGGGAGTTCTGCTTATAGAAGGTTGAGCTCTGATGAGACAGGAAGAGGTGACCCAACAAGAGCTCCTGGGTTATGGCAGACATCTGTGGTCTCTGCAGGTTGTGACGGTATCAGCAGGAGCTACAGGTTGGGCAGGGAGTCATGCTGCTGCCACTGAGGGTGATCCTGCTGAGACAGGGCTGAAGTAGCAACCTGCATCAGGAGGTGGGGGCCAGGGCTACTGCCCCATTTTTCTGGACAGTGCACCCATTCAGGAGCTCCAGGAAGGAGGGGTCTGTCAGCCTCCAGACCCCAAGCCAATTGAGTTAGAAATGAGTGCTACATCACCTTTGAACCCTAGGTCAGCTGGCCAAGGGAGGCCATGGGTACATATAAGGAGAGAAGCACTTTTTGGAGAGTCCTTCTTGTATATCAGAGTCTTGAGTCTCCATTTTTGCAAGAGAAAAGTGAGCTGGGGTCCAGCAGGGCAAAGTAGAGCCCAGGGAACCACAGGTCCAAGTCCTCTGTGAGCCTCGTGGTTGCTGTGTGGTGCCAGCTGTGTGTCACCAGACCCCAAGTACTGAGGACCTCAGTCTGTTGGGAAGATGGAAGCTTCACTGTGGTTCTGGCGTCCCGCATACAAGGCTACTGTTGGATTCCTTCCCTGTGGCTGACCTTGGCTCCTGAGCCCCCATATCTCTCAGCATGAGAACCCCAATCTTTGTACTTCAGGCCGTGTCCACTCTAATGCTCGATAGCTTTGGGGCGAGTGCTCAGACAGTTCAGGGCTCTTTTCCCCTTGCATCTCTTGGCAGCAGAATCCCAGCTACTAGTGGTCTCTTGTGTCACCCAGCCCAGGGGAGAAACAGCTCCCCTTGTGTTGTTGGTGTCCTTGTGCTTCAGAGTGGCCTGTAGGTCAGAAAATAGTGCAGAGAGAGGTGGGGTGAGATGGACGGTGACCTGGGCCACAGACACCGGGGGAGATGGCTTTGGTGCTAAGTCTTGAAAGATGATCTCTTCACAGCGACAAGGGGCAGGCACTGCAGCAGAGTGCAGCATGTGGAGAGGTACACAGCTGTGTCTCACACGTGGCCCTCAGGCATACTTGAGGCTGTACACAAAGTGACTCATCAGCACCCAGCTTTCTCCGTGCCCATTTCTACCTTGCCAATCTGATGCACAACCACACTGCAGCAGAGCCATCTCCCAGGTCATCAGGATCCTTCAGGTCACAGATGGCTCTACTTAGCCCTGATAAAATTAAGAAAAAGAAAGCGATTCCTCACCAAGGCAACAGAAAAGTCCACGGAGTGGGCTTCAGGCCCACTAGGACTGGGTCTCAGATTCACCCTCTTCAGTAGGAACTTGGGTCTCAAGGAGTTTTCCTCACCCATCATGGCTTCAGGCCTCCCTTGGCCCCATCTTACTAATTTCACAACACACCCCTGCCTTTCATTTTTTTCCCCCAGTTCAGAGTGATTCTTACTAGGCTTGCCCAATCACCATCGATAGGAAGAAGAAATATGCTAACTGATCACTATGGGCCCCAGTTCTGAATTGAGTCATGTGCCCAACCTCTCAACCAATCTCTGCTGACAGGAAGAAGAAATATGCTAATTGATCACTGGGGGGTCCCAAGTCCATCCTGGAGCCAGCTCCCTGGGCTTCCCTCAGAGGTGGTCCCCAGGAGAAAAGTCAAGGTCACTGGCAGACTATGGGTTGGAGAAGTGGGCAGGCCATTCCACAAATACCAATGCTGACACCCCATTCAGACTCCCTCCAGGTCAAAGAGACTGAGGTTTTCGTGAGGTGGGTAAATATCCCCTGGGATACACTGGCCTTTTCTTGTCTCTTTTGCCTCCTGGTGGTCTCCTTCTTGGGGAACTTGAGTCTTGGCTGTCTTGGTTGTCCTGGGCACCAGCACTCCTGGAGTGTTGTACAGGGCCCTTGTTTATATTGGGGACTCTGGGATGAGAGGAGGGATGCTGGGTTAGGCAGCTAAAACTCCTTCCCCAGCTGTGAATGCCAGAATTCCTGAGGAGTCTGTGGGAGCCACCCTGCAATATTCCAGTTCCAGCATGGACTAGGCCAGGCTTGGACGCACAGTTAAGGCAGCCTGTCCCTATTTTTAGGCCAGATACTTATAGAATGACATCTGAGTACACACAGTCTGATTCTGCCCAAATAAGGGCGGCAGAGGCGTCAGCCCCCAGTGAGGGTGGGCCCAACAGGTGGACGGCAAAGAGGCCCAAATGCCAGAAGCAGCTTGGAGAGAGTCAGGTTCCAGCTAGATGGGCAGGGCTGCATGCTTAGCTCCCATGGAACCAACTTGCCTCAGCTCTCCTGCGGCCCAGTCACCAGCCCATCATCTTTCCTGGTTCCATGGTTTCCCAGAACTTTGACTCTTCCGGAAGCCACTGGCCCACCAGGCTGAGGCCGGGAGGGCTGCAGAGAGGACTGGGAGCACCACTTTGGAAGGAGGAGCAGAGCATCAGGTCCATGAGGACATCGGAGGAAAGGCGACTCCAGAATGGAGAGTCCATGGAGCACCTTGGGGCATGGATGCCAGGAAAAGAGTGCTGTGGGAGTCTGAGGCGGGAGGCTCTCCAAATTGCTGGAACTGGGGAACCAACTTAGAGACTTAGTAAGAACCTGTCTCAAAACGAATATAAAAAGGGCTGCAGATGTAGCTCAGTTTAAAGGCGAGTTTCATTCCCAGAACTGCAAAACAAAACAAAACACACCCCCACCCCAATAGTACCCGGAATTAAGGGCCTCCAGGCCCCACATGGAGGCTGTGGTAAGTCCAGAGAGCTCCGGTGGAGGCAGCAGCAGGAGAGGGGTCCTGGCAGATTGATTCTCAGGGAACACCCTTTCTTTACACTCCCCCGGGGTCCAAGAGCCGGCCTCTCGTTGGCTGAAGCCAAATCCCAGAGAGCAGTCCTTGAGTCCGGCAGCTCCGGTCCTTTGCAGGCTCCTCTGGGAACACTGGAGTCCTCGCTGTGCTGGCCACGTAGCCTGCCAGGGACACCTCCCCTCCCCCGCCCGAGCCCGCTGGGCTGCAGAGCAGAGTACCTCCGAGGCTTGGGCCCTGGAGTGGGTGCACCGGGCTCCAGCGCCTGCAGCAGGAGGGCCCTGTCCCTGCGGAAGGAAAGGCTGCCGCCGAGTGGCTGCAGGATGGTTAGCAGGCGCTCCCTGGCGCGCACAGCTTGGGCCACTGCCAGGCCTGGCCGCAGTAGGGACCAGAGACTCCGGAAGCTGGGGCTGGGCGGGGACACAGATGAGCCTGGAGGGTGGTGTCAAAAGGCCAGGTCCCCAGTAGGGAAGGAAGGAGCCCGGGCTCAGAGCAAGTTGTCCTCTGGTGGGTAAGGAGGTCCTCCTGAGAACAGGGCATGGGTACTGGGCTGGGAGGGGCCAGCAGCACGGAGAGCTGGTTTGTTTCTGTCTTTGTTTTTGCCTGCAGAATGCTCAGTCACCTACCTCCCCTTCTCCCTCCCATCCTTCTTTCCTTCCTGCAGCGTACATCTGTTGAGACCTGCTGTGTGTCCGGTACTGTCATCTGCCTGACACTGTGCTCTGCGGCCTGGTGGGAGACCAACAGGGAGATGACCTGGGGAGTTAGCAGGCACAGAGAGCTGTGCACTGTTAAAGAATGTGGGCGTGGTTGGCTAGGTCTTAGGGTGTGGCCAGGTAGCACCCAGGGGCGTGGTCAGCTAGGACAAGTGTGTGGTCAGCTAGGTTGTGTGGTCCTGGTCAGCCAGGCCCTAAGGAATGGTCCTTTGGGTTTGCTATGCCCAGTTACTAGAGTCCCCTGGAAGAGTGGCTGACTCAGTTGTGACTCCCCAGCCAGGGCAGAACTTCTCTGAACCAGGACCAGGTCAGATGAGGCCAGGCAAAGGGAGTGGCCCAGAGGCAGGAGTGCAGGCCTGTGGTGGGGGTGAGTGTGGGGGTGGAGGTCCCCAGAGAGGGACAGACAGGCCCTGGGAGGCAGGTGGCAGAGTGGGCCTGCACACTAAAGGGTAGGGTAGGACTGGGCTCTGAGGTCCCAGGAAGGGCCCCCAGACTCTGTGGCCATCGAGGAGCCCAGGCAATCCTTGCAGCTCTTTTCTGAGCAGCCATGGGTACCAAATGGCTGTGTTCTTTCTTTGCAGACATCAGAGCTCAGGTGTTGGCCACAGACAAGTCTGTGGGAGCTGAGATCGGTAGGTGGGCTCAGCCTGCTCTGGGCCCATGGAGCAGGGAAGGTGGGAAAGAATGTGCTCTGACCCAGCCTCTGCAGCTGGGGCATGAGATGCTAGGCCCAGGAGCACAACTATGAATTCACTCAGGGCATGCAGCCTTGCAGGGCAGCCTGTGAACCTTTCCTCTCTGGCTGCAGATTTCAAATATGCCCACCTCGGGACCTTGCTGGGTGTCGCCATCTCTATGGGCTTCCCAGTACTGAAGATCTGCATGATCTGGAAGCACCTGTCTGATCAGGACTCTGCAGGCCAGAGGAACACAGTCCCTGGCTTCACTGGTGAGGGGCCCGGCACTCCACTCCACTCCATCCTGCTGAGATGGAGTGTGGCAGTCAGGTTTTTGACACTGGCAAAACACCCCAGCAATAACTTACAGAGAGGAAGGGTATAGTTGGGCTCACAGTGGTAGAGATTTCAGTCCATGATCACTGGACCCTGTTGCTTCTGGGCCTGTGATGGCCTTTGGGGGACAGTCGAGATCACAACTATAGCAGTGTCCTGTGAAGCCACCAACCTGAGGCACTGAGGCAGCTCCAAAGCAGGGGACAGGAAGGAATGAAAGCCACAAAGCCTGGCAGATCTGAGCAGGACAGAGGCACAGTGGCCTCTCTGCCTCTTTGTCTCCACCTCCTTGTCTCTCTGTGTTTTCCTCTCTCTCTGTTTCTGTTTCTGTTTTCTTTTTCTCTGTCTACTCAGCCCGGCTTCCTGAGAATCAGGGTTGCTGGAGAACAGTGCGGAGCAGATCTGAAATTGGCTTTGGACAGAAAAGTCTCTTGTCTTGTTTGAGTGATAGGATCAGATGGCGTGGGTCCAGAAGCCCAAGGTGGCCCTAGGCACATGGGGGGCGGGCAGTGGTGCTGCTGGCTCAGGGATGTGCGTGGTGAGGAGGGGTCTCTCACAAAGCAGACAGAGTGTGGCAGTCCCAAGGGTTGCTGGGTGTTGCTGGGCCATTTTCTGCAGCTACATTGCCCTGGGCCCTGTCTCTCGCAGTCAGGCACAGAGCAGCCTCTATGGGGTCACACTCACCACACAGCGATGACACAGCTTTCTGAGGATGGTTGAAGGAGCTCATATTCTGGAAAATTCAGCTAAGGCAGTACTGGGGGCATGAGGGGCTCTGTGGGCCACCAGAGTTGGCTTAACCTTAATTTGGTGCCCTACCGACAGAAGCAAAGAGAGAACAGCTTCTTGCAGCATGGCAGCTCGGCAGCTGAAGCTCCCAGACAACGGGAAATGAGAGACGGTTGTGGTGGGGGTCTAGGGACTGCGCGGACCTGGACAGAGAAGGCCCAACAGGGACAGCAGCGGAGACCAGCTCAGGATTCTCACTGGGGCACTGAGTGCCGCTCCTCTTAACACCCTGCTTCCTGTCTTTAGACCTCTGTGAGTAGAGGAAGAGGGGCTTGTTGTTGAGGTAAGTTGGCCTCTGCTGTGTACAGGGTGCGGTGGGATGGGGTGGAGGGACATCATGTTCCCTCCTAGCCAAGCATCCCGCTTCTGTGCTGTCGCCCAGCCTCTCCTGGGGACTAGAATGCCCCTTCGTGCTCAGTCCTGCCGGCCTCGGGGCTTTGCCCTTGCTGCTTCCAAACCCTGGAGCGCTCTGCCCAGAGAGCCACAGACCTTGTCCATTTCCCTCTCCTCTGCTGAGGTGGTTAGATGACCTGTTGTCCACAGCACCACAGCCTCGCTGTCATTCTCTCCTCCCTACCTGTGTTCATGGTCCTTTATGGCTTGTTCTCCGAGTTGACATTTTGTCCATTTCCGTGCTTTTCTCCCTAAAACATAAGTTCCTTAAAGGCAGGGTCCTCTTGCAGCTGCCCTGCCCAGCTGGGCACAGGGTCTACACAGAAGTGGGTGCTCCTGTGTGCTGAGTGAGGGTCGGGTGAGAGCCCCAGGCCAGGCACTGCCTCTGTCACAGGTCACGCAGTGGGGTCCAGGCTGACGGCTGCCCAAGGAGGGCTCTGAGTGTTAGGGTACAGGGACCCCAGCAGTGGGAAGCAGGATGTGTAGGGTGGGTAGGCCTCACTCTGCATGTGGAATGGTAAAGTAAAGCTCACAAAGCTGGGCCTGGTCACACTTGGACACACAGAGAGAGGGACACTGCGGCCAGAGGGTCAGGGCACAGGACGGAGGGTGGAGAGGGTTTCGGGGGAACAGAGGGACTCATGCTTAGGAAGGAGGCTGAGCTCTGCTGAAACTTCTCAGCTGCTGTGGACTGAGCTGGGTGGAGGACACATTCTTCATGACAGGAGGAGCCCTGGGGGACTGGGGAGCTGTGCTGCAGTCTCTGTGAGACCCACTGCTGGGGCCTGCAGGGGACCAAGAAGAGGAAAGAAGCAGACATAATGGGTTATTCTGAGGCCAGGCGCTGGAAGATGCAATCCCATGGCCCTGTGTGGTGGCCACAGTGCTTCTTCAGCAGCAAAGTGCCACTGAAAGGACAAAAAGAGGTGCAGAAAAAAGGCAGGCAATAGGCAGGCGAAGGAGGGAGTGGGGAGGCACGAGGTGGGGCACAATTCAAGTGGTGCAAACTACACTGGGTGGATCAGGCTGAGTCAGGAAGATGTTAGACCCCAAGGAGCTGCCGAAGGCCAGCAAATCGGGTTCCCTCCTGGAGCAATACCACGTGTGCTTTATGTCACCCAGTACTTAGCTCAGGAGCATCCTGTTATTTCATTTTCAAACTAAACCTCATATTCTCCAAGGGATGGGCTATAACAATCATCACCTGTACTAAAAGGAGAAAATGCCAACACTGTGGGAGGCTGAGGCAGGAGGATCCCAAATGTGAGGCCAGCTTGGCCAACTTAGTCACTTAGCAAGAACATATCTCAAAGGGCAGGAGTGGGGAGAGCTGAGGATACAGCTCAGTGCAAAGGCCCTGCATTCAATCCTCAGCACTGAAACAAAACAAAAATTGAGAAGGCTGTGGCCACCTTGCAATGGCAGTGGCTGGCTGGTGGCTCCTCTACATGGCAGGCAGGAACTGCTGGCCATCAGCACAGCCAGTAGAACAGATGCCAGCAGGATACAGGGAAGCTGTGGGCATTGGCCCCTTTAGGGCTGAGAAAACTGGGTCCTAAGGAAAAGATAGTTAACGTTTCCACTTACCGAGCGCTTCTCCTTGATGATTGGTAAGCTAATCATCAGCCAATTTAGACCATTTGATGACATGAAAGTCCCAGCACCTCTCATGGTCATCAGGCTATTTGCTTCCAGCAGTGCTCTGGGGTCTCAGAGGGGGCCTGGTGCCCCACGGCAGGGGCCTCGTCCCAGAAGGACAGCTCCCCCTAGTGGTTTATCCCATGGTTGCTTCTGGAGCCACATTCCTGGCTGCTCACTTACTCTGGCGCTGTAACCAGAGCAACAGTCCCTATCTGACCCCCAGGATGATCACCAGGCCTGGGCAGCCTCCTTCTCTCCTTCTATTTGAAAAATCTTCAAATGCACCAAAAAGCTGAAAGAATCATGCAAAAAGTATATACCCCTGCACCTGATCCATGAGGTGTCCTGAGCAACTGACTTCAACACTAACCTTCTTCTGGACCCAGAGACACGACACTCACTGCACTCTCCACCTCTCCACTCCCCTTCACCTGGCCTTCCTTGTTTCCAACCTGTTTGTCTTCACCATCAGCCCTACAACACCATCAAGCTCTTTGACCTCGGCCTGTGTCCTTGGTCTGTAAACACATGCTGTCCATCTTAGGGCTCTTGGCTTGGCACATAGATGCCTCTGTATGCCTCATCTTTCTGCTGCTACTGCTCCCCTGGGGAGATGTCAGGAGCCGGGAGATGGTGACTGCACGTGCACAGTGGATGGAATATGCAATTTGCACGACTCCACGGAAGCAGGAACATGGCATTCTGTTACAGCTGCAGGTATAGTGGATATACACCTGCAGTGTTTGGTGCGAATGGGTCTCCTGCATGTCAGTGAGGCCCCAGAGTCATCATGGCAGGATCTCTGCCCAACTTCCTGTTCAGTCTCCATGTGCAGAGTCTGGTTTGGTGACCTCATCTTTTCTTCTGTGTTCATCCTTTTTAATTTAAAAACACATCTACACTGTCTTCCTTCCTATCTGTGCTGCTGTGCTGAGCACGGAGCAGTCTTGCTCTCTGGCAAGTATAGAAAGTAACTTTACTACAGCCTGGAGATTAGAACCAAGGGCATCATTTCTCAGTGACTTTCCCAGGGATCTATCTGTCTATTCTTTGTAGCATCTGCCCAGTTATGCAAAGTTCTTCAACTGCAAAAAAAAAAAAAAAAATCCCTTTTCCCCTGAATGTGCCCATTGACTTTAGGAAATGACTTCTTTTCCTAAAAAAGAAGGTTTTGTGGCTTTGGGTTTGGTGGGCGGGAAATGACCTCAAGGTTGAAGTTATTCAGGAAAACTCTATGCTTTACCTAGAAGCCACTGGATGCCAGGGCTCTGACGTGCATGAGGAGATGCCCCATCCTGCCGGGTTCCCTGCAAACTTGGACTCCTTCACACCTATTTACTGTGTGTGTAGCACAGGTATAGTTTAGTTGGGGGCCCTGCCACTCTATCACCAAGTCTTCCGATGTTTCCTTTTCTTTGCAGAGATGCCCAGGTGATTGAGTTGTGACAAATGGCAGTGGCAGAAGAGGTCCACCATCTGGACACTTGGCCACATTCCCATCTAAGGATATTTTGACTAGAATGCCCAAGGCTGATGATGGCACCTCACAGGGACTTCATGTGGGAGGCAAATGACAGAGCTGAAGGACTTGAATCTTTAATACTGCTAACCTGCCGGAACTCCACTTCCTCAGGAAGCTAGTTGTACACAGGGAGAACATTAGCCAGCTGTAGGCAAAGCTAGGAACCAGTGAAACCAAAAGTACTTGGCCTGGTGCTCATGATGGAGTTGTCCCTACATCTGTCCCTACAATGGCTCACAGGAGTGGGACCCAGTAGAGGCATGGCTTCCTCAGTACCCCACCTTAGTAGCATCATGAAGCTCTCTCTGCAGTCACTGGCCTTCCTTCCTTAGCTGCCAGAATCCCACATTGCAGAGGGAGCCTGTGCACAATGAGTGGGGTGTGGAACCTGTGAACCAGTCCCCAGAATTGTCACCAGGCCACAGCTGCTAAGAGGAAAGGGCAGCCTGACCAGAGTGAGCACAGCAGCCCTTGACTGCTGCCCTTGGCTACCACTGGCCTGGCCTGCAGCTCTGCAGCTCTTCAGATGAAAGAGCCAACAAAACATCAAGTAAGAAAGCAGATGCTACGCCTGTGCAGAGCTCTACAAGGCAAGCTCATGCCATGGTGCTGTGCACGTGTTACATGGAAGCCATGATTGGCAGGGGCCCAGGAGACCTGCATCATCTATTCTTGTCCTTGGTCTGAGGCTCCTCTCGCCTGTCTTACAAATCTCTCAGTTCTAGGGCTACACTATGGAAGCCTCTTCTGCTCTGCAGAAATCTGGGTGGCTGTGGGGGCTGGTTCTCCTCGGATGGGTGCCCCCCCGTTGTGTGTGACAACAGATGAGCTATATTACAAAACAAAGTGCTGTGTTATAATCATCTGCCTGGATTCCCAGGGCATCTTTTACCTGACTTGATAACAATGTTCTTCATTAGCAGCCTTTGTTAACTGATAACCTGAAGCAGTAAAGCAGTATTCATAAGCAATTTTCTGTGTGTAAGATAGAATAAACCGTCTTGTAAGGGATCTGTTAATTGATTCACTTCTTTTAGCAGCATTTTAATTAAGGCATCTGGATTTGAATGGCAGAAATACTTGTAAGCAGAAGGGAAAGTTTCTGGATTTTCAGCCCACAGAAATGTCCTGTGCACTGACCAGAGAAACACAGTCACGTGTTGCTTGGTGATAGGGATGTGTCCAGGAAGTGCGCAATTGGGGATTTTCATTGCTGTGTAGATGTTGTAGCTGCCTTCACAGGGATTGCAACGGTTGTGACATTGCTAGGTGATGCCCTGCACGTGGCCCATCACTGATGGAAGTAGCGCTATTCTGAGCATTCTGTAGGCTGAAGACCAGGGTCCACCTTCAGGCAGTAGGGACAGACCTCATCCAGGAGGCAGTGTGGTCTGGGACCCCTGGCAATGATATCTCTTAGGTCTGCATCCCATACTCATACTGGCTTCCTTTTGTAAGTCCTCTTGGGAACTTTCAGGAGCCTCCTTGACAGCCTCTCTCCTCTCCCCAGGGGAAACAGTTCTTGGAAGAGTTCCTGAGCGGCCACAACTGTCATAGTGTCTGTGGGTGAAGTGCCTCAAGCCAGGGCTGTTCCTACCTGAGAGCCTCCCTTGCCACTGAGGAGCATGCAGGCAGAGGCCAGGGCAGTGACAAACTTGGCCCTGTTGTCTGTCGGGCCTGGGGCACCCAAAGAATGTGCACAGCCCACTCTGTCCCCATCAGCCCACCCAAGTGGAGAGCATCATGCACAAAGGGAAGGGACAGGTGACTCCAGGGCCAGTGGGGAGGACAGCTGACCTAGAAGACAACAGCTGCAGGTGGCAGCAACAGCCAGGATCTATGGGCAGCTGAGGTTTTGGGCAGCTGAGGTTCAGGGCCCCAGGACTGGCACTGGAAGGAGACAGGAGATGGTTATCTAACAAGGTTAATGAATTCAAAATCACACTTAGAGGTAGTGATCATAGACCTATAAATTAAAGAAGCTTGCGCTGACACCCTAAATTAAAATCAACACTTAAAATCTAAACACCCCTGGGTGTGTGCTCTCTCCTCTATGTATGTTGAAGGCCATACATCATGGAGTGACAAAACACCTGGAGGTCTGGCAGCTAGCACAGACACCCTTTCATGATCAAGGTTGGACGCAGTCAAGACACAGACAAGTTAGGCTGGGGGAGGTGGAAATATCAGGGTGACTCGACTCTGGTTTCCTAATGAGTCCAGATAGCACCCTGGTCCTTGTCCATGTGAGAGATGAATATGGTGGAGGTCGGGGCTGACAACAAACGTGACACTGTGGCTGGGTTTCGGGGAAGCCAGCAGTGGAGGCCAAGATGGTCTGGGGAACAGTACTGGTGAGGAAGAGGAGGGAGGGGAAGGCTCAGCCAGCTCCAGGGCATGGAGGACCAGGTGGTGTCCATCTGGGGAGGGTCCCACAATTGATATCTGGGGTTGAGAGCACACCATCTGTGAAAGCCACCAGAAGGGGAGCAAGCTGGGAGAGTCCTGGAGTGGAGTGGGTAGACCGGATCACTGTGCCAGAGGGGCTGAGCCAGTGGAGAGGGAGGTGGCCTTGGACAGATGACCTATCCTGGAGCCCATCCCTCCAGATACCTCAGGACAGCTGGAGTTCCCATCACTATCACAACCACCATGATGCCCAGTGTCTCCTTCAAGGGTAGAATAGTCCAAAGTGGACAATGACCCCAGAGGATGGCTGCCATCTTCCCACTGTATACAATGCCCTTTGCATGGTGGCTCACACTTGGCAATGTGTTACAAATGCCCTCTGCCCTACTGTATGGTACCAAGCAATGTGGGAAAAGGAGAGAAGACAGAGCCATGGCTCTGAGGGAAAGAAGGCTGTTGGCAAGCAGGTGAGCAGGCAGCGTTCTAAGGTGAGAGCAGGTTGCTGCCAGAGCATGGCAGGAGGAGATGCTGAACACAGCATTGTGGAAGGGGCATCTTGGCTCCTGGGGTCAACACCCAGGAATGTCAAAGACCACAGCAAAGCAAAGGGAGGGCAAGGACATCATGGCGCCCAGGGCTAAGGCTACACGGAAGCAGGGTGAAGAAATCGAGGGTCAGATAAGGTCCTGACATGTTGGGACATTTGGCTGTCTGGTGTTCTGTGGAGTCTATTTTGTCTTCCACAGCGTCAGTTGCAGAAAGGCAGTGAGGGACTGCAGGAAACAGAAAGATGGAGAAGTTTCTAAGAGTTCTTAGGGGAATGTTCTAGAAGAAGGAAACCCAGAAGCTTTGCAGAGCAGCAGAAGGATCCCGTGAGATAAGCACAAGGGCGACAAACCCAGGAAAATCCAAGTACAATGTGACATGCCAAGAGCAAGAGAATCAAGTTGCCTGTAAAACTATGAGGCTGCTAGGGAAGATAGACTTTTTATTGACAGAACTGAATGAAAAAAGATAAAACAACAAAGTTTTCAAATTTTTCCAAGGGAATAAGTAGGCTCCATAGCATCCCATACCAAACTATTACTCAATGAGAAGGCAAAAACCAAAAATGAAAACTTTCTAAGTGCAAAAACTCAGAAACTACTGTTCAAGTAACACACCTGAAAGAAAGAGGAGTTGGACTTTAGCAGAATGGAAAGTGAATTTTAGAGGAATATGTTAGATCAAGGAAGAGGCAGTAAGTGAGTGAAATTTATGTTTCAGTGAGCCATGGTTATCTTGGAAATGGTAATATTAATTCTATGCATTAAAACCCCACATGGGAGATTGTAGGGGAGGAGGCAGGAGAGAAGTAAAGCATTCTATTAGGGACATAATCCAGACTAATACAGGCATGGCGTGGAGTACTGGTTAATTCTTTACATTGATATATGAATATAGTATTGAATACATACAGTATGAGTTCAGAAGAAGTCTTGGAATTTAGAACAAAAGGCACAGGAATCTTCTAAGTAGTTATGGTCCAAACTGTGGAGCAGGGGGAGGAAGAAGGGAAAGAAGAGGAATAAACAAGAAAATGTCATAAATAGGTAGCAAATTAGGATAACAAATATAAGTGTAAATATATAACATTAACTGCTTGCATTCACAAAATTCACCTTTTAAAAAGGTTTATGTTGATTTGAGAAGATTCAGCCACATGTCTAAGAGGAATACAATTTAAATAAAAAGTAACTGGAAAGTAAGAGATTGAAAAGGATTCTTAGGCAAATGCTGAAACAAACAAATAGTAGTGCCAAACAAACAAACAAAATTCAAGTAAGAAGGCTGACAAAGTAGAGAAAATATTAGATATTGGTGACCCACCAAGATAACAGCAGCATCATGAAGCTTTATGGTACCTGACAACCTAGCTCTGATCTACAATGAAATGTGACAGACACATCAGGAGAAATAGCAGAAGGTATCAAGCCGTCTCTGCCAAATCACAACACAGCGAGTTTGGAATTTGTATTAGGTAGACCACACACACACACACACACACACACACACACGTAATCTCAACAAATGGCAAATGATTGAAGTTAGACAGTGTACATTGACTGATCGCATGAAATAAACAGTTTCTAAAAACTTTAAAATGTGGGCTAGGATGTAGCTCAGCGTGGAGCACATGCTTAGCGTTCACGCGGCCCTAGGCTCAATCCCCAGCACCCCTCCCCCACACACATACACAATATTTCCAAATGCTAGTACAACAACATTCTTTGCTTGAAAATCTCAAAATACATTAAAAAAATAACAAGAGACTCTAAAGCCCGTAATGACAGAGTTGTGTCTCATTGCAACCCCTTACAGTCACAGTGATAATAAGCTCAGTGCAGAATGCACTAAAACAACTGTTTAACAGCACAAAGAGCCACTCAAAGCAGGCAGGAGCTAGGGAAGAAAAGAAGCAGCTGAGCTTTCTGTTTACCCAGCTCTGACCCTGAGCACCGGTCCTAATATGCATCGAGTGGAGTAAGAGTGCAGCTGTCTCACTGGGCTGCGGAGGAGAAGGTGGGGCTTTAAGTAGTCAGGGGAATGGTCCCTGAAATGAGTCAACCTTCACAACAGAACCCAAATCTGTTTGAAATCCCCCTTAACTCTTTGGCTGACTTCTAAACTGTGTATCCATGGGGTGAAATATCAGAGGCTCATTGGAAGCAACAGACAGAAGTCTAAAAAGAGTAGTGAAGGTGTTTCAGCAGCCCCTCTGCATTTGAGAGGCAGAGTCTGGAGTTCAAGTTCTGCTACATTAGAAGGATTTGATTAGATCATTAATTTTATGTGTCAACTTAAGTGCACCACAGCGCCCAGATAGCTTGTTCAGCATTATTTTGGATGTTTCTGTGAGGGTATTTGTGGATGAGATTTACATTTAATCCAGTGGACTGAGTAAAAGTTTCCCCACCATAACTGGGGTAGGTCTGTCCAGTGAGTTGAAGATCTGGATACAACAAAAAACTGATCTCCCCTAGGCAGGAGGAAATTCTCCACTAGAGGAAAAGTAACCTCAGCCATTCCTGGCTTTCCAGCTGCAGCCCACTTGCAGACTTAGAATCTGGTACCCTCCATAATTGTGTTGATGGAGTTCTTAAAGTAAATCTCTATTATACACAGCCTTGGTTCTGTTTCTTCAGAGAATCCAAACATACTCAGTAAGCACAGGTGGCTTCCCATGGGAACCTAGGTCTAGACACAAAACTGAAATGGGCCAATAAAAGCCTAAATCCAAGATCCTGTGGAGTCTTGGTAATTTGCCAGTGATTTAACTTGCCAGACTACTGATTTCGTAAAAGACAGTTTACTTAGCCAGCTTATGAAGAGGTAGGTAGCTAAAGAAAGTGGATCGGCTGCGCTGCTTAAAATGAAAATAAAAATAAGCAGTGATGCTGAGACTCTGACAAGAAAAGAAGCTCCTCAGACAACACGGAATGCAATCCCATTTCCTGTATTCAGACACCAGTTTGGAGGAACTTAAAAATTCAGAACAATTGATTTTCTTTTAAAAACCAGTTTCCTTTAAACCCTGCAAGTTGAGTAAATGGTTTAGAAAGCCCAAGTTCTGGTTGGTCATTTATGCCCATTTTAGAGCCATGTGTGAGAGGGGGTCACTGGACAAATGAACAGTTCCTATACTCTACTTACCCATAACAAGTGCTGGACTGAGCAGCTATGTAACAACCTGCTTCGGACCTATCCAAGCTAGGAGCTAGTTTTCTTCTCACTTCCAATAAACACTCTCCCAATGTACGACCTCCTGTTTTTCCATGATTTCATTCTTTGACTTTGTGAGACAATGAGTTGGGTTTATGTGGTTTGTATGGAATTGGCTGTTTCAATTTGTACCCTGGTCTTAATATATAAAATCACTGAGTGACAACATAGAGAGTTTTCTGTCACTGAAAGAAGAATTTAGCACTTACGTTCCCCAAGAGAAAGGGACACATCATGTCATATGGGGTCACAGAGTGAAAGCATTAGCCTTGGTCAGAAGCAAGAGTAAGGTGATCACATGGCTCAGGGCCAGTGTTTTGTTTCCCATGGGAAAGGGAAGGCAGGATGGGTAGAACGGCTCAGGATTAACTGATTTAGCTAATATTGGCTTGGTGTCTGAGAATTAGATAAAGAGGTGGTTGGGAGTATAAATTTGGAATTAATTGGAAGGATTGTGATATGATTTTTAAGGCATCTGTGAAAGCTGGATTGCAGGGAGACATACCCAACTTTGGCTATTAGTTTGGTCCATTAATTAATAGATGCCAAATGAACAACTACAGAGAGATTATGAAACCACAGAACTGAAAATCAACAGTTTTCCTCTGAAGACAACAGAATCCAAAACAGCCCATTTGCCCATCAGTTGGAGACTGGATAAAGAAGATGTGGTTTTTCTATAAAATGGAATACTGCTCAGCCATAAAGAAGGATAAATTAGATTCATTCATAGGAAAATGGATACACATTGAGGATATACTCCTAAGTGAAATAAATAAGTCACACATGTGTAAATACCGAATAGTTTCTCTGGTGTGAATAAACTATAATAGTTCATAAGATCCTAGTGAGATAATTGACAATGTGAAATAGGAAGAAAAGGGCTAAAGGTGTAGGGAAAGTGGGAAGGGTAGGGGAAAGGTAATAAGGGAAAAGAAAAAAATAAAAAATGAAACAATGGAAATAAAGTGTTTGTAAAGGGGGAGGGGAAAAGGGGGTGAAGGGAGGACAGGGACAAGGGGAAAAAATGAGAACTAAGACCTGTCATGTAAAGGTACAAGATCCCAATAATGAATGCAACTGTACTATATACCTAAAATGTACCAATAAACTCAATGAGAAAAAAAAAAGACAACAGAATCCAGAGTGTCTACCATGGATCATCCACAATGTCTAATGTTCAATAGAACAATACCAGACATTCAAAGAAATGAGAAAATGTGACTCACAATGAGAGGAAGCAGCCAATAGGAGTAGATTTATGACGAGCCAGATGTTGAAATCAGCACTCAAGGACTTAAAATATTTATTAGACATTCTTTGTTTAACAAGAGAGTTCTGTTCTATGACTAGGTCATTAAATGAATTGGTCACTAAATGAGGAATCATACATAGTATGTACATTACAATATAAGTGGTCAAAGGAAACCCCAACTTGATGACTTTGCTTTTATTTGCATAACTCTTACATGTAGTACTGTAATGTATAACAACACATAAAACTATAGTTCTTTACAGTATAGTACAATCAGCAAAAATTACAGTACTATGCTTTAGAAAAGCTGCCATAAGTCCACACTGTACTCATGTTCCTGTGCCATAAGCCTGAATATGTGACTTATTTATTTCACTTAAGGCTTGTACATCGTTGGTGGGAGACTGCGTCTGCGGAGACCCAGCGATGAAGATCACGTAGAAACCACTGCAACCTCATTTCCACTCCCGTGTTACCTTACCTATCTAGTTTTCTAACTTCTTTGGAAGCCATGTATAATTATTTACATTTTCTGGGAAAATGATTCATTCTATGTAGATTTTCCAGTCTGTTTTTTCCTCGTTCTTTTATTAGTACGTATTTGCAGTACATAATGATTACATTTATTGTGAAGAGTTGGCACATGTACATGACACACTTTGATGCTTTTTTTTTGTCCTCTCTCCTCATCCCTCCCTGTTCCTTCCAATTCTCGGTCCCCTTCCCATTGCAAAAGCTATATTTCCATTTTTTTTCAATTCATTTCTTCCATTCCCTTTCCCTCCTCTCCACCTCTTATTCCCCTTCCTACTTGAGAAAGATCTAGTCCTTATATTTTTTATATTAAAAGAATCATATCACAGCGATATAAGTGCACCTATGTTTACAGCGGCACAGTTTGTAATAGCTAAAACTGGGAAACAGCCCATTTGCCCATCAGGTGGAGACTGGATAAAGAAGATGTGGTTTTTCTATAAAACGGAATACTACTCAGCCATAAAGAATGATAAATTAGAGTCATTCATAGGAAAATGGATACATATTGAGGATATACTCCTAAGTGAAATAAATAAGTCACACATGTATAAATGCCGAATAGTTTCTCTGGTGTGAATAAACTATAATAGTTCATAAGAACCTAGTGAGATAATTGACAATGTGAAATAGGAAGAAAAGGGCTAAAGCTTAGGGAAAGTGGGAAGGGTAGGGAAAAGGTAATAAGGGAAAAGAAAAAAATAGGAGAAATGAAACAATGGAAATAAAGTGTTTGAAAGGGGGAGGGGAGGAGGAGTGAAGGGAGGGCAGGACAAGGGGAAAAAATGAGAACCAAGAC